TGGCAACTGACTTGCAAAATTATCATAATTTTTGTACATAGATCACACTGATATAGAATAAGTGAAGCACCTACTCAAGCATTTTGTGTAGGATTCTGTGGACTTCATAGCTTGTTGTTTTGCTGTCTGTATGAGAAAGGACAAGAGTTTGGACGAAGGCAGCATTAAACCATAAATTAATGAACTGCAATGTGTTTAAATCACATTGTGAGCTAATGTTAGATTGTCATTGGTTAAATGCTGTCAAGGACTGATTTTAATAACACTCAAAAGGAAGAGATGTCAGTTCCCTAATGGAATGGGGCCATTCAAGCAGTATATTTGAAGACTGGTCAGCAAACTAGTGAGAGTGAAGTGTATGCATGGAGACAGGGAAGAAGATCAGAGGATCAACACTTTATCTGTCCAACTTAGATTGTCAGAAATGAGAGAAAAGAACAGTTTTTCACAAGAACAGTTTGTCCTGCTGGGCTTCTGTGATGCTTCAGTTTCAGGAACAAAAGCAACAAGGGAAAATTATTATTACAGTGCTGCACTGAAAATGAAATAAAGGGAATGAAATTTTCTTTTCTCTAAATACAAACCAGACGTTGGTTAAATATGTATGTATGTATGTATGTATGTATGTATGTATTTGTCTTTGTGTCTTCCAGTTCTATGCAATAGTAATCAGATAGGACTTGAAGCCGTATACTACTCAGTCTGTATAATTACAGAGTATTTCTCTATCATCTGGAGGAGGTGAAATTACATTTAGTGCAGGGCAGAACTCTCTGGTCTACAGTGGTACAGCCTCTTTCTCTGTCTTTTTACAGTTATGATCCATAGGTGCTTAAATCTTCTTTTAGGCTGGAAACCATTCTCTAGGAACTGAGTTAGCCATGGTAGAAGATGAGATTGGTGTCACATACCAGCAGCATGCTGCACTGAGAAAGCTGTGTGATAGTTTTGAAAGGCTTCATGATTACTTGAAAAGTGTGAAGCTGCCTTGTATTAACTCTCAGAAGGCAGTGTGAGAAAGCTGAAGTGGGAGAATGTTTGATATTTATATTCAGGGAACTATTGAAAACTCTGCCTAAACCTAGTTTGTTTCTGAGCAATTAAACTGCTTATGCATTTACCACAGGTACTAGTAGTGCATGTGCCCAGGCAACACCTTGTAACCATCTGTTACAAGAAGGGGGTTGTTTTGTGAATGGGATGGGAATGAGGGAAATGCCTCTATTTTAAATTGAGCTGTGATAACCAAGGATGCGTATACAGTTGCTGTCTGTTGAGAGTGACATAGCTCTTAAAAGAAAACAAACAAACAGACAACAACAACAAAACAAACAAAAACAAGTTTAAAAAAAAGAAAAAAGCCAAACCAGAACACTGTCATGACGGAGCTTGATTAGCAATTCAGCCTTGGCCTAGGAGCACACAACATTGCAGATGTCCTGAAACCAAACAGTTGCATCCACTGGAAGAGGGGGTGAGCAGATAATGACCTTCTGGTGAGGTGTGTAGATTTACAAGGCCCCATAGTAAATTTGGGATATATACATACATCCTTTGGAAGCTGTCTTATGCGTCCCAAGATTCTCTCCTCTACAACATACAGTTTGATTCTTGATGGCTTTGACTGAACCTTTGTCACTTCAAAATATGGAGTTGATTACATGATTGTTCAGCCTTTATTAGTATCAACTGTACATTGGTGTCAGATTCGTTTGTTTGAAAATGGAAAGAAAAATACCCTGTGTGTCCATAGCGATCTATTCAAGACCAAATAGTAAATTTACAATGGCTGAAAAGGCAATGTAGTGAATACACAGCAGGGTCGTGTTCCAGTTAAACTTCTGAGAGAGATGGATGTTCCTTTCAAACAATTTTATTGGTTAAAGGTAATCGCACAAAGTAGACCAGTCCTCACAGATTTTTAGGAGGTGATACTGTGACCCATAAAAGGAACATATTAGTCTTTATCTTTATTAGTCTTTACATGAAAGATTGCCCCTTTCTATTACAAGGTAGCATTTTTGTTCTGTTTGAAGACAGTGTTTTGCAAGGGTTGCTTGAAGGCAAGGGAACGGTGAATTTTTCTTTTTAATTTAACTCAGGGCACATTGCATGTTTTTGGCAAAATAGTGAATGCTCCTTGGTGAATCCAGGTTCAAGAAAGGGGGGAGAGTGTTTGTAAGAGCAGTAAATGGGGTATGCAGCATATCCAGTGATAGAGGTTTATCATGTTAATATAACTGTTTCTGAAGGCTTTTCTATTTTAGTGATATTATCCTACTTGAGAAAATCCAAACAAGGTCTACTGCAAGCTTGAACTCCTTACACCTTTCTCTGAAGGAAAAGTTCAGTAATTCTCATGTTCCTAGAAGCTGTTTGCTTGGATTTCAGTCAGGGAAGGAGAATTGTGCTGTATCACAGTGACAGCGAAAGCTCTCAATGCTGTGCCAGGCATCAGTGCAGAAGTTGGCACATGGCTGTTAGAGCCAAAAGGAAAAGGGTTAAGCATGGATTAAAACCAGTTTTAGGTACTTCTGTGGGTGTTTTGTGTAGCACTTTAGAAACCCATGTGAAAATCGGTTGTGGTTTGGTGCACATTTGGTGCGCACCACTTCAGAGGCTGTCAGTCTGTGGGGCAGAGGGTATCATTCTGCCTTTGTGCACGGTAAGGACTCCAGGCTTTTTTGTAAAGACTGAAAGCAGAAGTGTGATTGCTGACACAACTTCGGGAGTGACAGAGAACACTCCCGTCTCTCCTGTTTCCCTCACCAGATGGACTATCAGGGAAGCAGTGAAAAAAAACAGTTACTTCTGTTTCTCATACTTCAAATTCCTTTGTGTACAGAGCAAAAAGAACATGGAAAGAGCTAGTGTGTCAAGCAGGAACAGAATCAAAGATTAGTAGGTGGCCACCCCGTGCCTTATCTTTAGTGAGTGAGGGAGAGTAGCATAGCTGAAGATCGCATGTATTTACTGAAATTTCTTCTGTCCTGTCTGCATCTCCACATCTGCCCGTCTCTGTTCTATAAGAAATTCCCCATATTCAAGTCTGTCCTGCTCAGCATCCATTCAGTTCTCTCTTTTTTTTTTTTAATCAGGGTTTGCTGTCTTTATCTCTTCCTGGCCTTGTTGGGCAGAGTGATGTCAGAGTTTCCTCATACAGGGTGGATGCTGCAGATGAAAGGCTTGTAGGACTCATCTCTGCTCATTCCAGGGTAGGAGTTAGTCTTGAATCAGAATTGGCCTGATCTGCTGAACTTCTTTCCTCCGGCCCTTCATCCTGAAGGAATAGCTCAACTCCAAGGATGAGCTCTTTTCCCTGCTTGTGGGAAGATATTTGGTCATAAGTAGATTCTCAAAGGAAAACTGGAATTCATATGAGAAGTGGAGAGCCACTCAGCCAGCTGCAGCCACAATGGCATGACTAGAGAATAGCACAGGCAATACTGCAGCAAGCAGGATGCTGCCAACTGTTACTTCATCTGCCTTGAGAGTTTGGGAGTAAAGAAACAGAGAAAGGAAAGCACAGCCAAAGGCGCTTAAATATCATTAGAGTTATGTAAATCAGGAACATTAAAAAGACAGAACTGAAGTGTTATTTCCCTCCTGAGGAGTTCTGAGGATAACTGAGGAGAGAGAGGGATGTCTTGAACAAAGATGAATTAAGTTTTTCTACAATGTGAGATTTTGTGAGGAGACAGGAAATAGCCTTTTATTAACGTCTCATTTTTCACAGACAAACATAAACACACAGTCTAATTCTTTAAGAACAATATTTTCAAAGAGTTCATACTTTAACATTTTACCTGTTCTGAGAGTTAGCACCTGAAACAAAAATAAATGCATTATGTGGATTTTGTTTGTTGTTACATACCCAGGATGATTAAAGTGGTTTACTTTCAACTGCATATTACTTAAATTATTGTTGAGCTGAAAATAAGTATTTTGGAACTCGGAATAACTAAAAAAGCAGGGCTATTAAGGACTGCAGATGATCATCTACTTCCCCAGTGCTGACCTTTCAAAGGTAGGATCCATTACACCACAGCTTTAAATATCGGGAAGGTATTCCCTACGGATGTGCTAGCAAGGATTTTATTCAGCAGGGTACCAGAGACTTGTGCGGCTGTACTGTAGTGGGCATATGTGGCTGGTGAGATGATCAGACTATGAGCTCAGCTCTTGTTCTTCATGGGCATTTCAGCGTGGTGAAGAAGGGATTGTGTTTAATAAACTGTATGCTTGAGGTGTCCCTGATCTTTTGCGTAGAGGTTCAAAACTAGGAGAAGTTGAACTGTGGTAGCATGCAGAAGACTATTCAGAAAACGTGATCAGATGACTGCAGCGTTCTCTGGTGTGTACGGCTAGGGAAAGGCAGTTGTGTTATGAAGCCTAGGTCAGTGTTTCCTATGCTACAGATTTCAGCTCATGCCTCTTCCCATTCATTATACAGACATTGCTTCTTAGAAGCAGCAAAATTGCTTCTGATAAATTCTTTGTGATTCTAGGCAAAGTATGATTGGGAACATCAATAATCGCATATAGGAAAAAGTTAACTCTCCCATCTGGTCATAGGATCTCTTCAACATAACACTCCGTGTCAGGGAGCAACCTTTATTTGGGAGATATTCTTCCTTTAGTGGCTTGCCCTTAAATGAGCTGGGAAGGAGTGGACCCAGGGTCCCCCCTTCTGGTCATGTGGGAAGCACAGGTAAATTGCTTGCACCTCTGCTCCTTGAGCCAGTCACTCCACCAGGTGTTCAGTTATCATGAGCTTGGGCTGTGACCTAATAGTTCCCTTACAATGGGGAAAAAAAACTTACCTGGGTATAAGGCACTATGGATGGAGATACTAACGTGTAGAAACGTGACTTCCTACACGTAACCAGCCTACTGTAGGCAATGCTACTGCAAAGAGGGAGCTTTACTGTGATCAGAGCTCTTGGCAGTGAGCAGAGATACAGCAGATGAGAAGGCAGGAAGTTGACACAGGTGGTGGCGAGCAGTCAGCCAGGACAGCGCTGACTTCTATGGAAAGGCTATGTATACAGAGGAGTCAGCATTTAGCAGAAGACAGAGAAGAGCCTGGGTCCAGCAAGTACATGGAAACATTTTTGCCTGCAAAATCCTACCACATAGAGATAACCAAGAAAGCTGACTGTGGCTGTAAGGTATTCTGTCTGGGATTACTTTGCTTTTCATAGACATTTTACAGCCTGCTGGTGCACCTAAACCAACTAATGATCTTTCATGATCTGCTGCATTATGAACAAAACCCTAGTGCACAAAGCCTAGAGGCTGAGGCTGATGAAGGTTATGCCATTTGTTACAGATGGTAGCTCTGGCATAAGTTCCAGGCCAGCTCGTGACTTTCAGTGGCAACATAAAACTCTTCACATCAAAATGAAAGGAGGGATTCAGAACCTATTCTTAATTTTAAAGACTTTAAAAACTTGTCCTATTGGTTGCCTTAACAACGTATCTTATAACTAAGAACGTGTGATTATTTTTGTTTTTCTGCAGAGATCTTAGGTTTTAAACATTTGGAAAGGGATGTGCTACAGAAGCTAGCTCAGAGCTGTGCTGCCAGCCTTGGACACGGGTTTCTACATGCAAAAAAAATCCTTAATATTGAGAATTTTTCTGACCAGTGAAATGACTTTCTGCTTTGTATCCCGTTGTGTACACACCACAGTGTCTTCTGAGAGCCTGATGCTGAGGTATGAACAGCAGTAATATAAGACAGGTGAGGTACACTGCTATTAAGTGCATCAGAAACAGCCAGTCTGCAGTGCCCATCCACTCAAGGATGCCCTGCTTGAAAGCTTACATTTAAACAGTAAGTCTGCAACTGCAAACAGTTGTTCTAACTACTTCATGAGGTTGTATGAAATTCTCAGAGCTGTTACCAGTGGAACAAAGATTGCAATAAGGAGGAATACATGACAACATTCTGAGAAATTGCTGTGTTTCAACTGTACAGTAAGATGCTTCTTGATGATATTGCCACATGACTATTTTTCAGACAAATCTGAAAAGTGTCCCAAAACATTAACTGTAAGAAACTGTATATGTACCTGCTAATTGGACCACTTCCCTGTAGAGGCTTTTGACTTCAGTCATAGGTGAAACTAAGTCATATGGTCATAAAACTGTTTTATTCATAGCTCTTAGGTGAGAGATATAGAAGTGTGAAGTATGCTGTCAGACATACAGGAGAAAAGATAAGCAATGGGATGCAGTTTTAAGAAACCTGAGAGCTGTACTGAAAAGATGCAAAATGACTCCCAGCTGAACAGAGCCTCACCTGAAGAGCTGCAGTCCTGCTGAGGTCAGCAGTAATGGGGAGTGTAGAGCCTTCGTCAAATAGGCAAGAAATGGGTGACCTTTCTGAGCCTGGACTCGACTATAAATAAAAGAACAGCTGCTGCTTTCAGAATCAAAGTATGATAAAAAGCAGGGATTTGCATCTTACAGTGAGTTTGGGACTCAGTGAGGCTCACAGACTGTAACACACAGTGGGAGAGAAATCCTGTGACCTAAATCAGTGGCAGCTGCTGTACAACAGGCTTAGTAATTTCCTCCACCTGTGGAAAGCAGCTGTTTGGGAACCATAGCAGTTCCTTGTGCTCTCTGGCACTGCAGGAGGGCCCGCTGAGTTCTTGCAAGCACTGTAAATGGAGATTTTCCACTCTGAGAAGACAGTGTGGCTACTTCAAAACCAAGGAGGTGATAATGTACGCTGTTCCACCTTCACACTGCCTTGAGGTGCAAGGAAGAGGCAGCCAGTTGTTTGCCCTGTGCCTTAGAGGGAAGTATTATGCAGTTGTCTAGGTTAGAAAACTCTGAGCTGTTCGTGCTATTTTTCCGTGGTGCAGAAATTCCCTAGATCTTCAGGCAACATGTGACAGGACCTAGAAACAAATGCTGAGGCATAAACAACCAAATTTCTTATTCCCAGGTGATAGCCAACTGCCTTTCCACAGAGTTTTTGTAAAGTAATTATGCTGCTCCAGTAGGTTTTTACAGCCTCTTTGCAGACATGTAAATGTTCACCTAGAATATAAAAACCATGGAAAATCAGAATGTACATCTCAATCTCCGCTGCTTTATGCAGCTTTGTCTGGGAAAGGAGAGAATTGGTCACCATGCAGAGGTGCTATGGGCCATTCCTTGAACACACTCGCCTTGGCTGTATTCGCATGAAATAAAACTGCTGCTAATTGCCTGCAAGTATGGGACTTCACCCTTGTGAGCAGTACTAAACCATGGAGATTTGGTTCCTAACATCTTAGCTTGCTTTCACATGTTTTACTGAAGTAGCTAATGTTTTATGAGGCCTCAGAAATATTTGAGCCATTCTCCTGGTGCTTTAGGACCAAAACCAAATCCTGACTGTGTGATCTCAGTTTTATTCTGCTGTTTGGTGAGCTTTTAGAGTGCCTTTTACTGTTCTTTGAGTTTCTTTTATTTATCTTCTCCACAGCGCCCTGTGAGAACACTGACTTAATGGGACTGTTTTCATTGGAAAATGATGTTTTCAGCTCAAATTAGGATATGCATTTGCTCAAGGTAAATAGGAAACATCTCGCAGCCTGCTTAGAAATATTAGTTAGAAAGTAGAATAGCATAATGTAAAAGGAAGCTATTGAAGAAAACTTAGGAAACAGAAGTAATATTTTTTTTAATTCCAAGAAACTCTCCTATATGGGGCTGGAAAGAGAAATCTAGAAATACTCTCAGAATGACAACAGAAATAGGAAGGAAAAAAAAAACCAACAACCCGAAACCTGTATAACATAGCACATATCTTGTGAAGACAGCCATCTCACAGCTATATTGTTTGTCTAGAGTAGGGTGGGGGTGTGAGGAGTGTTAAACTCAGGCCACAGGTGTAAGGAATAAAACCTGTTCTCCCAGCAGGTGACCAACTATCCATAGAGCAAATGAAAACAAGAACCTACCTTCTGTCTGACATGGATCTCATGCTGCCTACACATGCCTCTCTTGTTCAGCTCATTTGTGTTCCTCTGCCTTCATTTCAAGTAATGGGTAAGCATGAGTGATGCTAGCATACTGAATTTAACACTTTGAAAGGACTGTTAATCTGTTCCAAGCAGATTACGTAGCAGCTGTAACTAAGCCGAGTGCTGGGCAGTGTTTGAGGTAAGATGTTTCTTTACTATTTCCATGTTTTTCAGATAGCTACTTTCTTCTGTGAGTGCCTTGAGGTAAGTACTCTGTCTCTCCTGAGACAACTGCATATTAGCGTACTGAAGTGGAAGGAGTGCTATTTCTGAATTCTTGTCTCTCTTTTAAGCACTAAAAATTTCCTAATGTATTGTGGCTGTTTTGCACAGCTGCTGTGATGCGTAAGCTTGTTTTAGATGTCTGTTTAGTGGCTGCTTGGAGTTACAGGATGGCACGCAGTCACTGAAATTTTATTTCTGAAAGACCTGGTGCGTGACTACTGGTGAGTGGGCATTTGCTAGGTTGTGTTGCACTGTTCTGACCTTGAATTCTTAGGATTGTCTTCAAAGTCAGCTGTATCTGGCCTTAATGTAGAATCACAGAATGGCTTGGGTTGGAAGGGACCTTAAAAATCACGTAGTTCCAAGCCCCTGCCATGGGCAGGGATGCCCCAAACCAGATCACAGAATCGTAGGGGTTGGAAGGGACCTCCAGAGATCATCGAGTCCAACCCCCCTGCCAAAGCAGGTTCCCTACAGCAGGTCACACAGGAAGGCATCCAGGCAGGTCTTGAACATCTCCAGAGAAGGAGACTCCACAACCCCCCTGGGCAGCCTGTTCCAGTGCTCCGTCACCCTCACTGTGAAGAAGTTCTTGCCCACATTTGTGTGGAACTTCCTATGCTGCAGCTTATGTCCGTTTCCCCTTGTCCTGTATCCATGCTGCTGAAAGCAGTCTGGTCTTGCCACTCTGCACCCCACACCTTAGATACTTATAGACCTGGATCAGGTCCCCTCTCAGTCGTCTTTTCTCAAGGCTGAACAGACCCAGTTCACTCAGCCTTTCTTCATAGAAGAGATGCTCCAGGCCCTTCACCATCTTCGTGGCCCTCCGCTGGACTCTTTCCAAGAGATCCCTGTCTTTTTTGTACTGGGGAGCCCAGAACTGGACACGGTTGAGATGGACTCCAGGTGAGGCCCCACCAGGGCAGAACAAATCAGAGCTGCCCAGGGCCCCATCCGTCCTGGCTTTGAGTGCCTGCAGTGATGGGGAATCCACAGTTTCTCTAGGCAACCTGTTCCAGCGAAGGAACAGCTTATATTTGATAGGAAGGAAGGTACATGTAGGAAGTTTTGAAAGAATCAGAAATCTTGCCTCTTTTTAGGCTCAGTTGAAGTTTGATACTGACTTTATTGGAGCCCGAGTGTGAACAACAAATGTACTGCTTAATTATTCCAAAAGGTAAGGCTCAGAGTTTCATGTCTGTTTTCTAATTGCTGTTCTTTCTTATTCCCCTGCCTCCTTTCTTTAATTTATTTCATTAATATAGTGGTTCTGTCAGTTCTTTTCCTTCTGCTTACGCCCAACACTAACTTCAGGCACAGGCAAAATTGAGCGTGTCTGCCTGCTTGGCTTTATGTTAGGGCTGTAAATGGTTATAGTGACCGAGACTGCTGCTGAGACTTTTCAGGATATGTAGGGTGATAGCAATAGTTGGATGAATAAAACAAGATGATAAAAATCTTCTATTTTGCTCCTGTTTAATGTTTACCTTAGCTCTTCATTCTGGTTTTGCCCTTCACACTCTGGTAGCAAAAGTAATTGGACCTCATTTTCCCCTCTGGTGTTAGTTAAATTGCTAAGAATACTCAAGACAGTTTTGTTTATAGGCTTTTCTATAGAAAAGGTGTAGGCTAATTTTATAGCAATTAAAGAAAAGCCCTTGTTCTTTTGACTTGTAAGCTAGATCCATCAGACATTCAGCTTTTTAGAGAACTATCTATTGATTTTGTCTGCCATCAACTGAGTAATACCAGTGGGAGTCCTCTCTGCAAAGTGTCTACAGATGTTTTTGGTAATGTCATGCTCTAGGATTTTTTAATTCTTCTCAGTCATATCACTGTTTATTTTTCTGTCTTGTCTTAACAGGGGCAAGTGGACAGAAGTCTTCAAGTGGTTTTTGTGTCTGCTTTTTGTTGTAGATATCCAGAAGATTGAAATTTTAAAGAAAAATGCTATGTCCTTTGCTTTTATTAAATTCTAGGCTATCCATATAAAACAGGATTGTTTACACCAAACCTTCAGTTTGACTAATAGCATCTGGACCGTGCTCTGGGTTTGTCTATATCTTGCACCACTACTGCTCTGGTCTTGTTGAACGTATTTTGCCTTTGGTTATACATGTTTTAGTTGGTGCAATAGAAAAAAGGAACAAGTTTCTTTCAAGTTTGCTGGAAAAGATGACAGATATTTGTTTAAAGATTTAGAAAGGGTCAATAGGAAATCCATTTTTGTCTCCTGGTAAATTTATTGTGAGGCCATAGCACCAACTAATGGCGCTATTTGAAAACCATAGCTTGCAAAATCTACTCATACTTTTATAAGGGCTTCTATCTTCAAAACTTTGTGTCTGGGAGGTGTAAAGCTCTGTAGCAACATTTATGCAAGTTTATTTTTTCCTCACAGCAAATAAGCTTGAATCAGCTACTGCTGTGCACTTAATGGCAATGCAATGGTTTTCACTTACACAGTGCTAATTGGGCCTCTGAAATCAGTTGTGTTAGGAGTGGGGATACCCTAAATACAAGATGGGGATTGTGTGTGGGAAGTGACTCAACAGTATTCTAACAAGTAATTGGCATAAGCATCTGTTGACACTCTTTTTCTTTTTTTTTAAAGCTATGAAGTATCTCTTGCTTATTGGTGGCTTCTACTTTATGTGGCACTCAGTCTAGGCTGACGCTCTGAGCTAGTCAGTGTATTTCCAAAGCCAGGCTTCTGCAAATGTGCTTATGCTGCAAAGCTGCTGTTAAATCAGTTGCAGCTGTCCTGGGCTAGTTTGCTAAGGATTTATTCAGCTTCTTACATAACATTTGCAGCCCATGCTGTCACATGTGCATTGCAAGCACTGCCCAAATGAGCTAATTAAAATCTGTGCTGGGTTGCAGTGTAGAGTCTAAGTCTGACTCAACAGAAGAATTCTTTCTTAGTATCTTAAAAACTCAGTCTACTTGAGTAGTGAGCTGCCTGTGGGATTAGGAGGCTGTCCATCTCCACACTGTGGTTGTTGAGGGTGTTGGACCCTCAGTTTATCAGCCACTGGCAATTTAAAGTCAAACAAACAAAACCTTCTTGCAAATATTTACATCAGATATGTCATTTTCATCCATAATTATAAATATGCTGCTGTTTCTATTATTTCCCCAAATCGTAGCCTGAGCTGTCATTTTCAGTGATCACACCTGCTGAAATCCAGTGTGCAATAAATTGCCTTCTGATCAAGATGGGGTCATTTGCCAAATGTTGTAGGGAAGCAGCCTGTCAGAAACTTGAATGAGAAGAAATGTCAGAGCTGGCTATCTATGCATTAATTGCTGTACCAACAATATGCTATACCAACAATATCAGTAACTTTGCCTTTACAGGATCATCATAGTACTGCTTCCATGAACAGTAGAAAAGATTGGTGTGGCCGGATCACATCAGCCTACTCCCATGACCTGATAAAGGATTCCTCTGCCCTTCTATAATGGGTCTTCTGGAGCTTATCTAGCCTGTTATGAAAGAGGCCAAGAGATGGATAATTTCTGTACAGCTCTCAGAAGGTATTTCTACAACTGAATGCTATTCTTGCAATGTTTTCCTTGATGTTCATGTTGCATTCTAATTTCACTAATTTTTTTTTTTGTTTTTATCATAAATTGTGACAATCATTGATGTAAAAATATGTGCAGGATCAGTTCCATTTTTACTCTCATTCATACTATTTTAAAATGTAACTGATGCACTCAGCAGATTCGGATCCTTTTCTAAAATACAACACATGCTATCAAATATAAACTATTGCACCAGGACCTACCATATTCCATTGTTACCACTAAAAGTATCCGGAAGTGAAAGTGAAAGAATTCTGATTTTTCTCTTAATGGGTGCCTAGATATGTGAATGTTTCAGACAGAAGCGAAGCCAGTGTGAGGAAATTGGTTGTATTTAAGTATGACACCATGTGGGGAAAGGAGCTGTGCCTAAGAGTAGGATGATGATGATGATTAGTATGGCCGTGCAGATATTTCTACTAAAATGGAGAACGGTGAGGGCGTGTGAATAATTTAGCAGCATGCAAGAGTCAGTATCAGTATATCCTTCAGCCATTCAGTACTGCCTCAGCAGTTAAACGGGGCCATATGATTTACAAAAGCACCAGTTTCTTTACCACATCCACAGGTAATCATTCAGCCCCAATGTTTTTATTTATTAGTACAGTAAGTAAAACAAAACTGCCACTGGGCATTCATATAACTATTGAATGTTGAGAGAAAGGAGCCTCTGTCTTCTGCATATGCCTTTCAGATGTGTACACGTTACACTCTGAAGTACAGCATCATCAATTTATGTGATGTAGTTGCTGTCAGTTCAGATCATCTTTTCAAATTGCTTACTGTAAACTTAATGGGACAAATGAGTGAATGCAGTCTGAGGAGATGGGGATTATGTATCATCAAAGCAACGCATGAACTGTTGTGATGTTATTCTTTCTGGGCTTTGTGGTTTTTTTGTGGGTTTTTTTTTTTTTGGCTTTCTGTTTGCTTGTTTTGGAGCGAACAGAAGTTTTAGTTGTATGTTGCTGTGAGATTCCACTGAATTTTCTGGACAAATCCTGCAATAAGTTCTATTTAATGCTTTCAGAAAACATCATTCAGATAACAGGAGTATAGGTGCTCCTTTCTTTTACCTTATCCTTTAATCATATGCAGCTGTCTTCTCTTCCTTGCGTAGCTCTCCACAGGAACAAAGCAAATACAAATCTGTGTGCCACCACAGCAGAATTAGAAGTGTGCTCTCGTTTTTGCTTTCTCAGGTCATCTGTGTTCATTTGTATCTAGACAGAGTAATATTAATAGCTCCGTGCTTGATGGAAGTCTGATACTTACTTAGAACCTTATTGCTTGCGTCAAACCCTTAGGTTGCTCTGGTTGTTGGAGTCTGAAATATTTGAAACTAGAGTTCCTGTCTGATTACCATTAGAAGACAATCTCCGAGTTCTGCAGTTTATGTTCATCAGTGCTTTTGAAACTACATAACGGCTCTCTAGCTGGTGGCGTCTGCTCTGAGCTTTGTTACAACCAGAGAGAACCACTGCCGTGTGGCAACACAGTCTGTGTGCTGCCAATTGCAAGACAAGCAGAGTGGCTGCTTGTAGCACCATTATAAACTACTCGTTCTTGGCTGTAATAAAATGCAAGTAGCAGCTCAAATACTTGATTAAAAATAAACCCTACAGTTCTAGGGACTTGTAGTTAAAGCTTGCTTTGTCCAGTGGGAGCAGTCAAATAGAGAACTAAATGTATTGTTTCCTATTTTTTACTGCTATAGGATGCCCATTTAAGAGGAAAACTGTAGTAGAACCCATTTTTGGCAACTTATGGTGTAAGTGTGCCTCTGTAATGCTGCCTCAGGGGCAATAGCATATCTTGGGCTTGCACGCTTTTTTCTTTGCTTTTATGTAGATGCCACTGAAAACTGTTATCTGTTTAACCCTTAGCCTATTTTGAGTTCTACCCAAATACTTCTGTGGCTCTCCACCATAGCTAACTCCTTTACTGGTGCCGTCTCTTCATGAGTAATTTCTCTCTCCTTGGTCATTCTTTCACTTTGTGTTTTTCTCCCCTGCTTCCCCCTTCTGTTTGCAAGGCTTTGTGAAGTCCTACTGAAATGGATGCTGAGATGCCTTACTTGCTTATCAGAAAAATCTGTAGTCCCAGCTCTTCTTCTCTGTGTGTCATTGATATGCACACAGTTGTTTTGCTTTGCATCTGGTTTCTGAGGCAGACATTTAATCTCTCTTAAGTAAACAGCATCTACAACAATGGAGAAGCTTAGCCTTAGCACTTTTAGGAATTGCTCTTTCAAATCCCTCTACGGAGAAGGGGGAGAAATCAGTAAGTTTACTCAAATGGGAAACACTGTACATAATCTTGCAGAATCCTATAAACCACTGAGAGCTGCCAAGATGATTCTCTGGGTATCACCTGTGCTCTGCAGTAAAGACAGGCCACAAGAGAGGCCAGATTAAGTTCCAAGTAAGTAATCCCAGAGTCAAGAAGTGGATGAATTTCTATCTTTTTTTCACCTGAAGTTAATAATTTGCAGGCAGAAACAGTGAACTTGCTGAGTTGTAACAACATGCTGTATCACAAATACACAGCAACAGTCTGGTCAAAGACTGCTGTTGAGATCATGTGGCCCAAACCTTGACAGGTATTTCCATAATGAAGAGGGGCTCTACAACCATATTTGACCTGTAAGAGTGTATTCTTCTCAGTGTAATCCTTAACTGTATTTGCTGTAGAATTGTTCCCCTTAGAGTATTGCATTAGCCTATGCACACAGATATCTAATACAGGGATGGATTGGGAGTGTAATAAATGCTGGTTGCTATAGCAAGCAAGCAGAGTATATATAGTAATAAGTTTGTTCAGAAACTGTTCTGGGAAACTACCAGGGCATTCAGCTGCAATCTCTGTGTCATACAAAGCCTTTCAGTTAGACCATGCTTTTCAGAGGTAATTCTGCGTGCATTTTAGGCACGCAGAAAATCACGAACCCGAGGGTCTGACTTGCAAAAGTACCAACTATGTAGACATGTATCTAGAGTCTAAGAGAACAATATGCAGATAAATATAATTATATAAATAAATATATAAATAAATAAAACTCTATAATTAGAGTTGGGGGAAGGCAAGATAAAATCTTTTCTGTATTATGCCATGTGGTAGCACTGACTGTGCCTTTATCAGCCATGGAGATGTTTGTCTAATTTGTTCCCCAGATCCTCCAAGCACCATAAGCAATCTATTGCAGTGTTTATTTGTTTGGTTTGGTTTTTGTTTGTTTGTCTGTTTTAAGAAGTCAAGTTTTGTACCTGGTTCACTCTTGCAGTAATGGATAGGACAAGACAAACAGGATTAAGCTAATATTGGGAACGTTTTTTTGATAACAACAAAAAAGGCTATCTTATACGTATTTAGAGAATTTTCACTTCCCTTCCCAGTCTCTTAGGGCTGTATGGTTCTAATCTGTCCAATCTGCTTTTTTGCAAGTGATGTTTTAACTCTCATTTTCATTTCCCTCTACTGGCTATTCTTTGACTAGATTTTATCATGCCTAAAGTGCCTTCCCCAGGCTGCTGGTGATCTTGCGGATGAGGCTTTATCAGTAGCGCTCAGTGCAACAAAAATACAGCTTCATGTGTCTTGCTGGCTGTTTCCAGTGTGATAGAGAAAAGCAGGAATTTGCACTTCTATCTCACCTTGGATTTTAACAAGCACAGAACAGCTTTTTTCAGTGGTCTTGTTTTCAGAAATGGGTGAAATAATCTGGTTGTAACTTTCCAAAATAATTCGGTTTGAGAGGGGGAAAAAGTGTTTCAAGCCAAGAAACTGGAATCTGGTGATTAGAGGCGACAGGAAAAAATTAGCTAGACTTAACCTTACCTATAATAAAGTTGTATGTAGTGCAAGTGTTTTTGCAAAGGTTGAGGCAGGTTTTTCAGTCAGGATAAAATCATTATTATTCCAGGTAAAGCCTACATGTCTTTTCTGAATAAAAAAGGTCAGAAACTGGGCACAATGACATGAATTTTAGCAGCCAGTAACTTCCATGGGAATCCACTTTAGTGTTCAAGGAAAATAGCTTGCTTGGTGAATTGCCATCCCCATGTCTTGCACTATAGGGGTCTGT